GGAACGCAAGACAACCTTTTCCCACCTTCGTGCTGGTTGGCGGTGGCCTTAGACCCATAGATGATTCGAGCCGTGTAGGAGCGCCACTGGTTGATAGCAACAGAACTTGCAGTGTAGGGCTAGCTTGGGAGAAGCGGCAGCGCCAAACCAGGAAGATGAGCTTCTGGATGTAGATCTCCTGGACACGGCAGGCGCCGAGTTGTACAAGCTGGTTTTTGGCAGAGATGCTTGGCGAGCATCCGTACGCAGCTCGAGCTGCACGATTCTGGAGAACTTGGAGACGGTCCAGGTGCTTACCCGCCAAAAATGCAGAGAAGGTATTGGAGCCATAGAAGAAATCGGGCATGATTACAGACTTGAAGTATTGGATGCGGCTTTGCATGCTGAGACAGCTGTGCATCCGCCACAGAACACCAGCGGTCTCTGTGTGTGTGGGGGGGGGGGGGGGGATGACTGTATGGTCACCTTTACACGTAAATGTACATGTACCGTAAAGTACCGCCAGAGCGCCCCGTCTCGCGAGAGCGCCCCACCTTGATTTTACAGCCAGAGAAAGGAAAATCGTATGGCAGAGTGCAACGAAGTGTGTACGATGTGAGAATCTTAGTGTACCAAGGTAACACTTGGCAGGTTTTAGTGTGGAGCCTGTGTCCTCTTGAAGGTACGGATTGACTGCAAAACGTGCAATATGTGTACAAGGTTCATGTCGTATGACCTACAGACAGCAGACCACCTCCACAATACGACCACGAAAGGATGAGATGGTGGGGCGCTCTGGCGGTACTTTACGGTAATATAATAATATATTTTCTTTCCGTTTGGCGCGCATGACCAGTGTTGATACGGGGACACTTGGTCGGTTTAACGGCACCTGTGTCGCTGGCGTGTAGCCATCTTTAAAAGAAAAAAAATTCAGAATGAACACCTACATGTATAAACTAAAAGGATCAGTCAGGAAAGTGAACTAACTGAAACGAGAAATAGGCCAACACCACCAGGACTCGAACCCAGGACCTTGATGGGCATGAGCAATGCTCCAATCATCTGAGCTATGGGACCAGGCTGCACACCTTCCTGTACATGTACTAACAACACTATTAAAAAGTACTGCTGCGTTCAAGTCTTAGTTTGGGGATCCAGTGTGTCATCTCACCGGTTTGTTCGTTCCGGTTGACTTTGATCAGCAAACAGGGTCCTGGAAAAGGTCTCATAGTACATGACTGTGAAATCACATTTAAACTAGATTCATGTTTTCACGCAAACCCCTCAATGTCTCTATAAAGTAACAAAGGCACAGGTCACTAGCAACACCAATTGTAACACAGTATTCATTGGTACACATAGTAACAATGAGAACGGACTCGGTTTTCAGGTTGACCGACTCCACGTGCAGTTCATCGCGGGTTGGTGTGCATTTGCGAGGTAAATTTTACCAACACAGCACAGTTAATGGCTCAGTACAGCCAAGTCAAGCTCCCCCAGCCGACAACCAATGAGTTGCCACATTTTGAAGCCAGTGCTTAAAAGCCGAAAGAAACGAAGCAGCGGTCAGTCAGTCGAATATTCGAAGCAGTTGCTTTCATTCCACTTGCTGACCTTGGAGCACATTCGTTGTTCGCGAGCACAGACTGCATCCACAAAAGATATCGATTTCCTGTGGATGTACAACTTTCGGATGAGAGCGCCGGTACTTCCAAACAGTGTTGCCAATGAGTGTGTAGAGACTAGGTGTAACTGAATCGGGATAACGAAGTACTTGTACAATACATATGTTCATAAACGTAGAACGTGTCGCCGCTCAAGACGTACATCACGAGGAAAGAGAGAAGGAGAGACCACATACAGGGATACGTACTTGGAGATCTACGAGAATGATGTCGAAACATCCTGCAGAAGGTATGTGTACGTCGAGGCACTCCTACGTGGGGTTTGCCGCTCCTGCTACCACGTGCTTGTATGTGCTTCTCCTGCGATTTGCTGTTGTCCTGGCTGCGGCCAACAATGTCCCGTCAGACCCGGTAAGTGGATGGAAGTCGGCTTCGTCCTTAGACTTTCATCGTGTTGCGCAGTATCCCATGAATACTAGAAAATCATACACTCTGTATAGTACTCGTCAGACTCCAGACAGCACAATTCTTCTCCAGTCTACTCGATATCGTGAAGGTGAGCACATCATCATGTTGGAGTCCAGAAGAATAAATCAATCCTCTCCTGAACGTATAGATTACCTTCTCGCTATGGATGTGTCTCTACCCGGTTTCAGATCCTGGAGGCATGTGGCAGATTTGACCTACCCGGGCCTAGAGGCAAAGTGCCTCCGGAATAGGTTGTCCATGCCGTCTCTTGCTGTATCCCCCGACAGAAGAGACCTGGTTATCTATGACTTTGGACGCTGGCCCGAATGTAACGTGATGTTTGTGTGGAGGGATATGCAATTGCAAAGAATCCAAACACCTGCTATGACTACAAGCAGTGGGAGGTACTTGCAATCTATAGTAACAATGGCTGATGATCGACCAAACACGTATCGTGTCTTCGCGTATGGGGGCCTTCTGTGCAGTGCCGCACTTTCCGAATCGATCTCTGAAGCGGTCCGCTCCCATGGTTCGGAAGCCGCTTGGAAGAAGTTGAGCAAGTCCTGTAAAGTGTGCTCTGGCCTTCGGTACATGCGCATTCGAAGCAGCAGGGGAGTGATACATGGAACGCGATGGGAAGTCCTGCAAGTGGCGCAGTCTGAATCCAGCCCTGGTCCGCTTGTCCTGCCATCACTTCTTGCCTTCAACGGCACATTGCTGGCGTTCGGGGGAATGCATGGGTACAGTCTTTCAGCCCCTGGTAAGACAACACCTGATAAAAGTCACTGTGCTTTCTGGATATACCGTGTTCAAGATGGCATCTGGATTCCGCAGCAAAGCAACCTCACAACCATGTGTTCCATAGCAGAAATAAATAAGTTTGCACCAGGCATGGAGATGCGCCACATCCATCCGCATGCTGTCTGGTTTGCAAACGGCTCCAAAATTCTCCTGCACTATTCTGATTGTTTTCAGCGCGTTGCAGACATTTGCATTGTAGAAACCGGTAGACAGCCACGCGTCGTATCCTGTCGCCAAGTCCTCAACCAGAGGTCGAAGATAGAGAATTTTTTGAGTGGTCCTGAGTTGAAGTACTACCAGAGAACAAGATCATCTCAAGTTGTGGGTGGTCTAGTGGGCGCTTTCTACGGCACAGCTGCACGCGATTGGTCGCTCACGGCTGGATCCATGTACACGCTTCCGGCCTCAAGCCGTGTCGTCCACTGGAATAATTACGCGGAAGAAGTGATATACGACTCCTCTCTGCCAGCCTACCCGCTACCGGGCCAGTTCGGTTGCGAGTCGATTAATCCTGTAATTCAAACGTGGAACGGATATGAAAGAGTTCTCTTCTTTTTTGGAGCATCATACGGCACGTACACAGCGGAAGCGTGGCACTATAGAAATATGGAACTTTACGATACCATGTACTGGATCTTGGACACAAGAACGAATGAGTACGAGACAAGAGCAATGGCGCAGTGCACGAAACGTCCCATGATGCTAAGCCCTGGTTCCACCGACGTGGTCATATTGTTCGGAGTAGGTCATGACAATACAGACTACAAGCCCGAAAGCATCACTTTGTGCATCAACATTCTGAATTTCACTTGTGTTCAATTTCAAAATACTGGTACAGAGCAGCCTTCAATTCGCTATGGACACGTCGCTTTGCAGATCGACGACATGCACTTGTTGATTTATGGAGGCACGGAAAAGAACACAGGACGGTCGTTATCCGATATCTGGGTGCTGCTGTTTGAGGATCTCGGGACAAGCAGAGGGACGTGGAAGAGGCTGAACTCCGCGCGCAGCCTTCTTGGCCCAGAACTACCGGCCCTTACGAGGGGTCGAGCGACGCGAGTCAACAATCTTCATTTCGTAATTTCCAACTTCGGATCACAATGCTTCGATCACATATTGGCATTAGATACATCTGATTACAACAATACCGGTATAGTCAAGATCCATCATATTCCCGTAACGGGGGCTACGCCATGTCCACTAGTAACATCAGGTGCGGACCTCGTTCAGTACAATGAGAACAGTCTCTTGATATTCGGTGGAGAGGGAAAGTGGATATCGCGAGCTCAACTTATTCTTTTGAATTTCACTAATCTACAAACGCCAGCCAAAGTGATGCCCTTCGTTTTTCAGGGAGAGCAAACTAAATTAAACGGGCACCACATAGTGAGAGGAGAACACCTGTATGTATTTTCGGGTATTGGTAAAGGCGGCAATCGAGGGACCTATGTAACAATTCAGGAGGGATTGTGTCCTCTTGGATACTATCTGAACGACAACAGGAACTGTGAGCCTTGTCCCAAAGGCTTCTTCGCTCCAGGTCTCCGTGGTGGATGTCAACCCTGTCCAGAGTTCACAACAACATTGGCGGAGGGCTCGGCTGCATGCATCGCGTTGTCGCCGTGTCCCGGTCAGGCTTGCAATGGTCACGGGATATGTGTTGTGAAAGAATTGATTGCCGCGTGCCAGTGCGATTTTGGGTACGTGTCTAAAGACAACTGTGGTTTTCCGCTTGTTATTGCGGCCATTGTGACAGCTGTCCTTCTCCTCCTATTAGTCATTGGCTTCGCCGTCCGAAAATATTACAAGAGAAGCCAGCAGCTCAAAGTCAAGGAGATCGAACTGCGAGATAAACACAAGAGCATGCGATTGTATCAGAAGAAGCTAGATCAGATCAACAAGGGAGCCAGAATACAGTGGTCATCGCTGCACTGCACCAAGAAACTGGCCAGAGGCGCATTCTCGCAAGTGTGGCTAGCGGAGTTCAGCGACATGTTAGTAGCCGTGAAAGTCCTTCCTAAGTTCACTGGTAGAAACATTACGCAGACTGATCAGTTCGTCCAAGAAGCTGAAGTCCTGCGTTCAATTCGTCATCCAAATATTGTCATCTTTCTAGGAGCCGGCAATGATCACTCGAGTAAACGACCGTTTCTCGCCATGGAGTACTTGCGGCGGGGCTCGCTCTATCACGTGCTCCACGACAGAGACAATGTCTTCACCCATCACGATCGCTTGAGGTTCGCCCTGGACACGGCCAGGGGCATGGCGTACCTGCACGGCTCCAACCCGCCGCGTCTTCACAGAGACCTGAAGTCTCCCAACCTTCTTGTCAGCGATAAGTGGGTGGTGAAAATCGGAGACCTGGGTACGTCACGGTTCATGGCCATTCTAGACGAGGAGAACTCAGCGGCAGGAATAGCCACGACGGACCCAAAATCCTTCCAGACGGAAATCTCGGCCATCCAGCCCAATATATCCAATACTGCTGACATCAACCTACCGACTGCTGGAGCACCCCTCAGAAGACGTGATTCCCAGTGTTCATTAACTTTATCAGAAAGTCTGGAGACCAGCCTGTCAACACCTCTGCTCACGGATGTCTCAACAAGGCATGGTGAGACGTACCAGCATTACTCAGCATCGGTGATGACTCGTGGAGTTGGCACACTGCGCTGGAAATCACCGGAGACGGTTCGTGGCGAACACTACAACGAGAAGGCGGACGTCTACAGGTAAGTGGGGTGTTGTGATAAAATGGATTTCATTAATAATTTTATTACTTGTATGCTGTCCACAGCTTGAGCATTTTAATACTTAAATGTATCTTGAGGAAGGTCGGCAGTACAGTTGTTGCTGTTTCTGCCTCAGTACAGTGAGTTTGTCACTTGGTACATCATTCTAACAATAGGAGGACAGAGAAAGTGTTTTTACTCCGAGTTTCACGCACTAAGCTATCATCAGAAAACAGTAATTAGAAATCTGGATCAGTATTGTTTTATATACATTATTCTTGTTAAAATAGAAGGGATACAATTTTGGAAACGAGATAAGCGTAACTATCTCCCACTGTAACTAGAATGTAGATTGTAGGGACTTCGAAATACCGTACTGAAACTACGCACGAATTGACAGACCACTGAGCCATTCAATGCCCCAACACCTTCTGGAGCTCCAATACATCTCCGTTATAATAGTCATCAACCTTCTAAATAGGAAAGCTCTAGGTAACGGAGAGATCAAATTGGGAAATGTGAATGCACCGAAATATTGAAGTACAAGCCAGGGTTCGAATGTCGATTGTTACAGGACGATGACGAGACCAGTATGATGTTTGTTTGTTTGTATTTATTTTTATTCGCAAATTCAAACGGGCATAGAACCTAATAACAAGAAAGCGAATATGAAAATTATATTGAGAATGAGAATTAAAATACTTAGATCTTCAGCGTGGAGTCAGCGGTACATCAGAGGGAGATCGGGTACAACAGAAAGAGAACTGAAAAACAGAAGATTTCCCTTATCGGCTTTGCAAAGTTCGTGGGTACTGAATACCATGGTTTGGCCAACTGTGTAGCAGTCTACAACGTGTAGGGAATGGCAGCTGGGCGGAATGCTGGGATGTTGCCCATGGCTCGCACCGTGTCAGGTCTAATTATGGTTCCATAACAGGCAACCGCGAAATGCCGGTCGGCATTGGCCTGCTCGGCTTCTGGCTATTGGCTGTTTCAGGCCCAGACTGCGCTGAAGGCGAGTTGCTCCGCAGTTGCGAACAAAAAATGCCTGCAGAGCAGGCCTGGTACAGTTATGAACGCACCGCCATACCAGAACGAGCAGTTTCTGGCGATATACCTCGTCTACGCGGTAAACAGAGAGCCTCTCCACAAGAGGTCACTGGCCCTGGAAAATCGTGGTCGTCCGAACACCGCCCTTGCCGCGCGGTTTTGGGCCACTTGCAAGTGGTTTAGCTTTTTTTTTTTTTTTTTTTTTTTACTAAGGCCACAGCTTCCAATAATGACATGCAAAGCAGCGGTGCAGCATCGCAGGCATAAACCGTGGACGTGGTGACGGGGTCTGATGTGCTCCACCGACCTAGGGTCTCGGCTTCACTGCACAGCAAACGCGTCGAAAGAAAACGGGGGCTAATAATTATCGGGAGATGGGGGGGGGGGGGGAGAAGAAGAGAAGAAAGAGAGAGAGAGAGAGAGAGAGAGGGAGAGAGAGAGTGAAAGAGAAAGAGAGAGAGAGAGGGGGAGAGAGAGAGAGACTCAACTAGAGGCCGAGTTTTCACCCTTCAAGGATCAAGACGCAGATACAGGTCCTACTTGAAGTAAAGCGGTGGAACGGGAGTAGATCAGCACACCGGCAAGTTGTCAAAGATTAACTGTGGGTCGCAGCACCGCCGGAAAAATCCTTCCGCTTCCTAGCAGGACTTGAACCTCGTACCCTCTGGTTCTCAATCATGGTCTCAGACCATCCCACTATACCTGCCTGCACTTCTGTATTAAAATGTATAAAATTAATGTTTAGAAACAAGTTGTTTCACACAGAATACGTTTAGCCCTATGGCTCGTGACGGCTTATGATGTAAGCGACTTGAAACTCGGATGCTGAGCTTATAAATAATATAAAAAGGAAAGCTCATCTAGACAGTGTATTAACTGCATCTGATAACTAATTCACGGTTCACGTGAGACTCGGCTATAGGCCGAGTTTTCCACATCCGTAGAAACGCCACCACCCCAAGGATCAAGGCACAGAATGCTGATTCAGATCCTAACGCGGTGGAAGGTGAGTAGATCAGACCGAAAAATCCCATTTGCCGCGTCCATGCATCCTCGTGCCAGGCCATGGATTCCAAATTAACTGTGGATCACGGCTGGAGAAAATCCTTCCGCTTACAAACAGGACTTGAACTTGGTACCCTCTGTTTCTCAAAAATTGTCTTTGAGTATCTCACTATGCCTGCCTGCTAGTGTATCTAAAGTTCCATGTGTTTATTCTCTCTGTGATATTGGCATGGTTTCTCTACACCCCAGCTATGGTGTTGTCGTATGGGAGATCTTCACCAGAAAAACTCCCTATGGACATTTGAAGCGCAGTGGTGACGTGGAGAAGGCCATCGAGAATGGCCACCAGCTGGTTCTTGTTCCTGGAATGCCGTACGACTACCGACATCTGGTTGAGGCCTGCTTGCGACCAGAGGCGGCGGCCCGTCCGTGCTTCAAGGAAATAGTGCATGATCTGGAGGTCCAACAAGAGAATGTTTGATGCACGTGTTCTGTTCGCGTGTGGCCCCTGACCTGTTGGCCGCTGTTGCAATTGATTATTTCAATAGCACCTACATGTACATGATTGTACATGTACATGTACATGTGTGAAGTTTGTTTGAAATTTGAGAACAGTATAAGCCTGTTATGTATGATGGTGCTGCTGCGATTGCCAAATTTTACTTCTGTTTCTTGCTGCCTTACCGGCAGCATGGCGGTCGGAGTTTGAACCGATGTCTGCTTGGTTAGGTACCACACTTTAGCATACATGTAATTACCGAGCACGGCTAGCCTATAACAAATGTTGAGACTGGTTCCAGTTCTGATGGAAGCAGGTATTGTGTCTTCACATGTTCCTCCCTTTTCAAACCCATCCTGACTGAATAATTCCACCTCCGTTTTGTAATCCTTCCAAATTTAGTGCGGCGTCAGTTCATTTAATACTAGTACATGCACATTTTCAGATGAAGCCTTCTTTTCATTCTACAGGGAATTAAAATGTATACTTGAAGCATGCTGGAATCCCTTCCAATATACATATACATGTACATCCAGCCATACATGTATGGATCTTCCGATTCCGTTCTTTTCATCTAGGTGACAAAGTCCACACTAACTATCATGCGTTTTCAAGGTCTTCTGTTTTCTCACTTTGGCTTATGTCCACTGCTCTATTCGACTCATGTTCATACTTTCCCTCTCATTATCCGGTGCGTCATGCTTCTGGTGAAACCCAAACCGATTAATTTTACAAAGGACCTGTGAAAAGAATAGGGGATATCTTGAGATCAATTCTGATATGGCAAACTCTGCAGCTCGATGTTTCTTTCTCACTCATCAGTAGCGCATCTCCTTTACCTCTCTGACTAGTTTCTCCATTTATTGCACAGTTGGTAGGCCGGTTGTCTATGGAAGCGGCTCCCCCCCACCCCTCCCTGTCCAACAAATTTCTGTAACTCTAGTGAAAGCGGGTGAATTCCTGGACAGGGAAATCCGACAGGATGGGTAATGCACTGTATTCGTCGAGTGCATTCTGATGCGTGTATCGCAAGGTGCATGAGATGATGAGGTCATGTTTTACCTACATGTACATGTACAATGTAGATGTAAGTAACATTAATTTTGTGCATGTGCACGGTGCACATGTACAGTAGGTGGTGCGATCAGAAACTCTACAAGTGCAAACGCCTTGTTGATACTGTACAATGTACATTATTGTGAATGTGTACATGTACATGGTATTACATGTACATGTATATTCTGTCAATCTAACAATGTATTGTCGTGGACATGTACATGTACATGTAGATGTTGATCCGTTGAGCACGTTTTTCAACACAGTGCGTCCTCCGCCTTGTCAACCAATCAAAAAGTGCAAAACATTCTACTACTACTAGTAGCTGAAAGGGACTCAAGTGAGATACATTATGGTGTGGCGTTTGGTGAAAAAGTCTAGACCTCTGTCTCAATGAAATACATGTACATTCAGATTCAATAGACTGTCCGGGGTATTCTAATCGTTCACATGCGCTTCGCTGAACTGAAACAGTAAAAGGACAGTTCCAGCCGCATCTCAACCCATGCCCTCAACGCCAGACACTTTTACTGTCAATCGATAACCAGTGCTACATTGTAGTATCACCACCAGGTACTTGTACAGTTTCAAGAGCCGGATAGTACATGTACAACCATGTACAAGTACAAGTATTAGTAATGTACATGTACGTTTACAAGTCATGTGCATGTACATGTACATGTACATGACTTGTAAACGTACATGTACATGTACATGTACTTGTACATGTACATGTACGTTTACAAGTCATGTACATGTACATGACTTGTAAACGTACATGTACATGTACATGTACATGTACGTTTACATGTACATGCGCTGAAGTATACTATACATGACTGGACAATCATTGCCTACTATCACCCCCGAAGAGCACACGAAAAGTCCATCACTCGACAAAACCTGGAAGAATGCAACACTCCCTGCACAATGCACTGGGCATTCATCCCTCATCAGTTGAGCTGGTGGTTCACGAGGTGTTCGAGGTGATCATGTTGCGAATGACTGAGAGTCCTCAACGCTATCATTATAGCGATCGGCGGATTCTGCTCGAAAAGGTGGCAAATTCTGCTCGAAAAGCAGTGAAATTGGCAGAACCATACAAACCTTAAGGCGGGCAACTCTTCGAGTTCTGCTCCATTTTTATCCACATACCAAACGTGCATGAAACTTATCAGAAAAGGTACCGAATTCTGCCAATTTTTCTGCCGGCAAAATCCGCCGAACCCTACAGTCCATTCAGAAAAAGATGGACTTCTAGCTTTTGGCCATAAATGGGTCAAACTTTGAGTTTTTTTAGAATATTTTTCTGCAATCCCCTATGGAATCCTCTTCCAATTATGTTTCTGAAGTTTTTTGTCCAAAAAGCAAGCCATAACAAGAATAGAATTTCGGCCAGGTTTCGCCCCAACAGCACTGAATTGGGAAAAACCATAAAAAATCCAGGCCGTTTGACCCCGCCTGCAAACGTGCATTGTGCGGTCCGAACCCCAGTTCAGGTACCCTTTTTGGACCCTTTTTCAAATTTCAAATTTCGCAGTACTGCACTGTGTACGATGAAATCACGAACAATCGCCAAATACGGGAGCTCGCCAGAGCCAGAGCCCATCTTTTTATGAATGGACTGTAGCTATCAATCCATGAGCAACACTGACTTTAATACGCTGCTACATGTACATGAGTGCAAAGGCGTGGTGCATTCATGTGCGACACGTCACTCTGCAGAACACACGGCAGTGTGGATCGAGTTCGCCCTTTCCTTCCGCGTTTGCTAATGGTCCCAGACATACATGCACAGTACTTCCAGGATTCTTCGATTCCGAGGTTCTTTATGGAAATATACCAGGAGTGCAGATACCCAATCTTCACCCTCACCACATAACAAGACCAAAGCTTCACTCCAGGACCAAGTTGAACGTGCAAGCAACGGAACAGCAACAACAAAAACCGATCGATGCAAAGCACCGAGCTTTAAATCATTCAACGCGCAAGGAGCGAAGTGAGCAGCCAGCCAGCCAGAAAAGCATGAATAGTGAGAGTTCTACTCCTAACGATAACCGTTGGGGAGGTATATCGTCGCCACAGCACACACGTCATGAAAAGAGGAGCCTGAATGCAATACAGATAAAGTAACAACACACACGGGTCACGACACTTGTATAGCTGCTCATTGGAGATGATGTTGGCGGTATGTCACGCCTAAGGCTATTATGTTTCATAATTGCGTACGGTGAAAGATATCCAAGTCGCGAGCCGCAGCTTGCATCAGGCCGCATGTCGCGCAGTTTTACAGCAGATGTGGCTTGGCATAGGCCCGATACAGTTGCAGTCTCCGGTTCTCGCTGATCTTGCTTCCACAATGCACAGAAGCCCCAGGAAATATGCACGCACTATCGCCTTCGGCGGGGGTATAATTACATTGCAAAGAGATCCATGATCTCATGCACACACGACAATGCCTCTATAGAGGAAAAAAGGCACAGATCAAATTGCGCCACCGATAATACCACATCACGTATTGGTATTGGTATCGGTATTGGATACTTCTTACATCTATGTTGTGCAAGGAACACTTGGACTTTGGGTTGATCGACCCCACGGGCATCCGCATCGCGTTTACTATCACATCACACAGCACACAGTTGATGACGCCGCATCCAGGCCAGCTAGCTATCTCAGCAGACAAACAATGCGTTCCGACATTTTGGACGCCAGTACTTATATTAAGCCGTAAAGCGAATACGCACTAGTTAATCAGTCGACAAGCCAAAGCAGTCGTTTTCATTCAGCTTGTTGGCCTTGGAGCACTGTCGTTTTTACCTAACAACGACTGCGTCTCCAGAAATATTAACTTTCTATAGGTTTCACTGTGCAACGCTCAACATACATGTACAAGGGTGACGGAACAGGGATAGCGAAGCATACACACATTTTAGACCGTGTCGCAGGTGAAGACGTGCATCACAAGTAACGAGACGCGTTACAGTGTCCAGTGATACGTGCGAAGATGATGTCGAAACGTCCTGCAGACGGCACATGTAGGTCCAGGCTCTCTTCTGCTGGGTTTGCCGTTCCTACTGCCACCTATGTGCTTCTCTTGCGATTTGCTGTTCTCCTGGCTGCGGCCAACAATGTCCCGCCAGACCCGGTAAGTGGATGCAAGTCGGCGTCGCCCTTAGACTTTCATCGTGTTGCACAGTATCCCATGAATACTAGAAAATCATACACTCTGTATAGTACTCGTCAGACTCCAGACAGTACAATTCTTCTCCAGTCTACTCGATATCGTGAGGCGGAGCACATCATCATGTTGGAGTCCAGAAGAACAAATCATTCTTCTCATGAAGATATAGATTACCTTCTCGCTATGGATGTGTCTCTACCCGGTTTCAGATCATGGAGGCATGTGGCAGATTTGACGTACGCGGGCCTAGAGGCAAAGTGCCTCCGGAGTAGGTTGTCCATGCCGTCTCTTGCTGTATCCCCCGACAGAAGAGACCTGGTTATCTATGACTTTGGGCCCTCGTCGGAATGTAACGTGATGTTTGTGTGGAGGGATATGCAATTGCAAAGAGTCCAAACACCTGATATGACTACAAGCAGTGGAAGGTACTTGCAATCTATAGTTACAATGGCTGATGATCGACCAAACATGTATCGTGTCTTCGCGTATGGGGGCCTTCTGTGCAGTGCCGCACTTCCCGAATCGATCTCTGAAGCGGTCCGCTCCTATGGTTCGGAAGCCGTTTGGGCGAAGTTGGGCAAGTCCTGTAAAGTGTGCTCTGGCCTTCGATACATGCGCATTCGAAGCAGCAGGGGAGTGATACATGGCACGCGATGGGAAGTCCTGCAAGTGGCGCAGTCTGAATATAGCCCTGGTCCGCTTGTCCTGCCATCACTTCTTGCCTTCAACGGCACACTGCTGGCGTTCGGGGGAATGCATGGGTACAGTGTTTCAGTTCCTGGTAAGACAACAACTGATACAAGTCACTGTGCTTTCTGGATCTACCATGTTCAGGATCGCATCTGGATTCCGCAGCAAAGCAACCTCACAACCATGTGTTCCATAGCAGAAATAAATAAGTTTACACCAGGCTTGGAGATGTGCCACACCCATCCGCATGCTGTCCGGTTTGCAAACGGCCCTAAAATTCTCCTGCACTATTCTGATTGTTTTCAGCGCGTTGCAGATATTTGCAGTGTAGAAACAGGTAGCCAGCCAAGCGTCGTATCCTGTCGCCGAGTCCTCAACCAGATGTCGAAGATAGATGCACTTTTGCGTGTCACTGAGTGGAAGTACTACCAGAGAACAAGATCACCTCAAGTTGTGGGCAGTCTAGGGGGCGCTTTTTACGGCACACCTACAAGAGATTGGTCGCTCACGGCTGGATCCGTGTATACGATTCCGGCCTCAAGCCCTTCGGTCTCCGGCAATAATTACGCGGAAGAAGTGATATACGACTCATCTCTGCCAGCCTACCCGCTGCCGGGCCAGTTCGGATGCGAGTCGATTAACCCTGTAATGCAAATGTGGAACGGATATGAAAGAGTTCTCTTCTTTTTTGGAGCATCATACAGCACGTACACAGGGGAAGCGTGGCACTATAAGAATATGGAACATTACGATACCATGTACTGGATCTTGGACACAGGAACGAATGAGTACGAGACAAGAGCAATGGCGCAGTGCACGAAACGTCCCATGATGATAAGCCCTGCTTCCACCGCCACGAAGCTGTCCAATGACGTGGTCGTCTTGTTCGGAGTAGGTCATGACAATACAGACTACAGACCCGAAAGCATCACTTTGTGCATCAACATTCTGAATTTCACTTGTGTCCAATTTGAAAATACTGGTACAGAGCAGCCTTCAATTCGCTATGGACACGTCGCTATCCAGATCGACGACATGCACTTGTTGATTTATGGAGGCGCGGAAAAGAACACAGCACGGTCGTTATCCGATATCTGGGTGCTGCTGTTTGAGGATCTTGGGAGATGCAGAGGTGCGTGGAAGAGGCTTGAATCCCCCCGGAGCCTTCTTGGGCCAGAACTGCCGTCCCTTACAACGGGTCGAGCGACGCGAGTCAACAATCTTCATTTCGTGATTTCCACCTTCGGATCTCAATGCTATGATCACATATTGGCATTAGATACATCTGATTTCAACAACACCGGTATTGTCAAGACCCATCATATTCCCGTAACGGGGGCTACGCCATGTCCACTAATAACAGGAGGCGCGGACCTTGTTCAGTACAACGAGAACGGTCTCTTGGTATTCGGTGGAGAGGGGAAGTGGATATCGCGAGCTCAACTTATTCTTCTGAATTTCTCTAACCTACAAGCACCAGCCAAAGTGATGCCCTTCGCCTTTCAGGGAGAGCAAACTGAATTAAACGGGCACCACATAGTGAGAGGAGAACACCTGTATGTATTTTCGGGTATTGATAAAGGCGGCAAACGAGGGAACTATCTAACAATTCAGGAGGGTCTCTGTCCCCTTGGATATCATCTGAACCGCAAAAGGAACTGTGAACCTTGTCCCAAAGGCTTCTTCGCTCCAGCTCTCCGTGGTGGATGTCAACCCTGTCCAGAGTTCACAACAACTTTGGCGGAGGGCTCGGCTGCATGCATCACGTTATCGCCGTGTCACGGTCAGGCTTGCAATGGTCACGGGATATGTGTTGTGAAAGAATTGATTGCCATGTGCCAGTGCGATTTTGGGTATGTGTCTCACGACAACTGTGGGTTTCCGCTTGTTATCTCGGCCATTGTGACTGCTGTCCTTCTTCTCCTATTAGTCATTGGCTTCGCTGTCCGAAAATATTACAAGAGAAGCCAGCAGCTCAAAGTCAAGGAGATCGAACTGCGAGATAAACACAAGAGCATGCGACTGTATCAGAAGAAGCTAGATCAGATCAACAAGGGAGCCAGAATACAGTGGTCATCCCTGCACTGCACCAAGAAACTGGCCAGAGGTGCATTCTCGCAAGTGTGGCTAGCAGAGTTCAGCGACATGTTAGTAGCTGTGAAAGTCCTTCCTAAGTTCACTGGTAGAAACATTACGCAGACTGATCAGTTTGTCCAAGAAGCTGAAGTCCTGCGTTCAATTCGTCATCCAAATATTGTCATCTTTCTAGGAGCCGGCAATGATCACTCGAGTAAACGACCGTTTCTCGTCATGGAGTACTTGCGGCGGGGCTCGCTCTATCACGTGCTCCACGACAGAGACAATGTATTCACACATCACGATCGCTTGAGGTTTGCCCTGGACACGGCCCGCGGCATGGCGTACCTGCACGGCTCCAACCCGCCACGTCTGCACAGAGACCTGAAGTCGCCCAACCTTCTTGTCAGCGATAAGTGGGTGGTGAAAATCGGAGACCTGGGTACGTCACGGTTCATGGCCATCCTAGATGAGGAGAACTCAGCGGGAGGAATAGCCACGACCAACCCGCAATCCTCCCAGACGGAAATCTCGGCCATCCAACCCAAGATATCCAATCCTGCCGACACCAGCGGACCGACTGCTGGAGCACCCCTCAGAAGACGCGATTTCCAGTGCACATTAACATTATCAGAAAGTCTGGAGACCAGCCTGTCCACACCTCTGCTCACGGATGTCTCTACAAGGCATGGTGAGACGTACCAGCATTACTCAGCATCTGTGATGACTCGTGGAGTCGGCACTCTGCGCTGGAAATCACCGGAGACGGTCCGTGGCGAACACTACAACGAGAAGGCGGACGTTTACAGGTAAGTGGGGTGTTGTGATCAGATGGATTTAGGATATTTATTTTAATACTTGCATGCTGTTCACAGATTGAGCATATTAATACTTACATGTATCTTGAGGAAGGTCGGCAGTACAGTTGTTGCTGCGTCTGCCTCAGTACAGTGCTGTTGTCACTTGGTACATTATTTTTGAATAAAAGGGATATAATTATGGAAACGAGATAAGCGTAACTATCCACCACTGTAACTAGATTGTAGGGACTTCGAAGTAAATTACTTAAACTACGTACGAATTGACAGACCACTGAGACATTCAATGCCCCAACACCTACTGGAGCTCCAACACATCTCCGAAGTGATGGGCAACAACCTTCTAACTCAGAATGCTCTAGGTTAACGAGAGCAAATAGGGAAAGGCGAATGCACCGAATTAAAAGTACAAACCAAGCCTCGAATGTCGACTGTTACAGGACGATGACGAGATCAGTTAGATACTTGACAAAGCGGCACAGTCACGATCAGAAACAGCAAAAGAGTGCAACACCCAATTTCCTTCAATACTCCTTCTGTATGAAATGAAATTTCACGGTTCGCGTGAGACTCAGCTACAGGCCGAGTTTTCCGCATCCGTAGGAACGCCACGACCCTTCAAGGATCAAAGCGCAGATGCAGCTCCTAAAGCTGTGGAAGGTGAGTAGATCAGCTCAACAGCGAGTGGTCAAAATCCCATTTACTGCATCCATGATTTCCTCGTGCCCGGCCACGAGTTCTCAATTAACTGCGGGTCGCAGCACGGCTGGAAAAATTCCTTCTGCTTCCAAGCAGGACTTGAACCTGGTACCCTCTGTTTCTCAATCATGGTCTTAAACCGTCTTACTATGCCTGCCTGCTCCGTATGTAAATGTATAATTTGATGTGATGTTTAGAAACAAGTTGTTTCACACAAAACACGTTTAGCCCTATGGTTCGTGACGGCTTATGATGTAAGCGACTTGAAACTCGGATGTTGAGCTTATAATTAATATGAAAAGGAAAGCACAGCTAGACGGTTTATCAATTGCATCTAATATCTAATTCACGGTTCGCGTTAGACTCGGCTGAAGGCCGAGTTTTCCACATCCGTAGAAACGCCACCACCCCGAGGATTAAGGCGCAGAATGCTGATTCAGATCCTAACGCGGTGGGAGGTGAGTAGATCGGACCGAAAAATCCCATTTGCCGCGTCCATGCTTCCCTCGTGCCAGGCCATGGATTCCAAATTAACTGTGGATCGCAGCACGGCTGGAGAAAATCCTTCCGCTTACAAACAGGGCTATGAACCTGGGACCCCTCCGTTTCTCCAAAATTGTCTTAGCCCATCCCACTATGCCTGCCTGCTAGTTTATCTAAAGCTCCATGACTTGTGTTTATTCTCTCTTTGCTGTTTCCATTGTTTCTCTACCCCCAGCTATGGTGTTGTCGTGTGGGAGATCTTTACCAGAGAAACTCCCTATGGACATTTGAAGCGAAGTGGTGACGTGGAGAAGGCCATCGAGAAGGGCCACCAGCTGCCTCTTGTTCCTGGAATGCCGTACGACTACCGGCATCTGGTCGAGGCCTGCTTGAGACCAGAGGCAGCGGCCCGTCCGTGCTTCAAGGAAATAGTTCACGATCTGGAGGTCCAACAAGAGAATGCTTGATGCGCGTGTTCTGTTCGCGTGTGGCCCCTGTTGACCGCTGTTGCAATTGATTATTTCAATAGTACATACATGTTCATATTTGATTGATATTGGAGAACAGTAAATGCCTGCTATACACATGTACATGTACACTGGTGTGAATTCCAGCAGAAATCCAAGAGAGCTCGATACCGGGAAGGTAGAGCCGTGACACACTGGTCAGAACAACAGATGGCTTGATCAGTCCCAACGTAAAGTTTCATGCCATCTCAGGCACTCATCAGGTGATATGAACATCAAGAAAAATAACCCACTATCTTAGTACCGCGATCCTTACTGGCAATGACACTGTATCGGATATGAGTTGACAGCGCCCCTAGAGCTTTCTGTTATCCTTGACCCGCCATACTGGGCTTTAGATAGTGGGTTATTTTTCTTGATCTTCATATCACCTGATGAGTGCCTAAGATGGCATGAAACTTTAAGTTGTGACTGATCAAGCCATCTGTTGTTCTGACTAGCATGTACATGTACATGTATAATGATGCTATTGCAGTTGCCAAAATTTCCTTCTATTTCGTGCATGTTTATTGTGTACTCTCATGAGTAGAGGTTTTTTTTGGTAATAAACATAAAATTAATTATCTTCGTAGTTCAATTAATGTGCCTGGATTCCACGCGCCTGACAGGCAACATGGCGTTCGGAGTTTGAGCCGCTGTCTGCTTGGTTAGGTACCACACTTAAGCATACATGTGTTTACCGAGCACGGCTAGCCTATAACAAATGCTGTCACTGGTTTCAGTTCTGATGGAAGCAGGCATTTGTCTTCACATGTTCCTCCCTTTTCAACTCCCTCCTGACTGACTAATTCCACCTCCGTTTTGTAATCCTTCCAAATTTAGTGCGCCGTCAGTTCTTTGAATACTACTACATTGACATTTTGAGATGAAGCCTTCTTTTCATTCTACAGGGAATTAACATGTATACTTGAAGCATGCTGGAATCCCTTCGAATATACATCCAGCCATACATGTATTGATCTTCCGATTCCGTTCTTTTCATCCATGTGACAATGTCCACACTAACTACCATGCGTTTTCAAGGTCTTCTGTTTTCTCACTTTGGCTTATGTCGACTGCTCTATTCGCCTCATGTTCATACTTTCCCTCTCATTACCCGGTGCGTCATGCTTCTGGTGAAACCCAAACCCATTAATTTTACAAAGGACCTGTGAAAAGAATAGGGGATATCTTGAGAGCAATTCTGATATGGCAAACTCTGCAGCTCGATGTTTCTTTCTCACTCATCAGTAGCGCATCTCCTTTACCTCTCTGCCTAGTTTCTCCATTTATTGCACAGTTGGTAGGCCGGTTGTCTATGGAAGCGGCTCCCCCCCCTCCCTATCCAACAAATTTCTGTAACTCTAGTGATAGCGGGTGAATTCCTGGACAGGGAAATCCGACAGGATGGGTAATGCACTGTATTCGTCGAGTGCATTCTGATGCGTGTATCGCAAGGTGCATGAGGTCATGTTTTACCTTCATGTACATGTACATGTACAATGTAGATGTAAGTAACATTAATTTTGTACATGTGCACGGTGCACATGTACAGTAGGTGCTGCGATCAGAAACTCTACAAGTGCAAACGCCTTGTTGATACTGTACAATGTACATTATTGTACATGTGTACATGTACAATAATGTACATGGTATTAAATGCACATCCTGTACATGTATATCTGTCAATCTAACAATGTATTGTCGTGGACATGTACATGTAGATGTTGATCCGTTGAGCGCGTTTTTCAACACAGTGCCTCCTCCGTCTTGTCAACCAATCAAAAAGTGCAAAACATTCTACTACTAGTAGCTGAAAGGGACTCAAGTGAGATATCTTCATGGTGTGGCGTTTGATGAAAAGTCTGGACCTCTGTCTCAATGAAATACATGTACATTCAGATTCAATAGACTGTCCGGGGTATTCTAATCGTTCACATGCGCATCGCTGAACTGAAACAGTAAAAGGGACAGTTCCAGCCGCATCTAAACCCATGCCCTCAACGCCAGACACTTTTACTGTCAATCGATAACCAGTGCTACATTGTAGTATCACCACTAGGTACTTGTACAGTTTCAAGAGCCTGATAGTACATGTACAACCATGTACAAGTACAAGTATTAGTAATGTACATGTACGTGTACGTTTGCAAGTCATGTACATGCACTGAAGTACAATCATGTACATGTACATGTACACGTAGTACGTGCATGTGTTATCCCGAAACGTTGACTTTTTTCTTTATTAAAATAATTTGTGGAAAGCAGTGACTTATTGTGAGCCAGTGTTGCTCTCGAAAGCCAATTTTTAGTATTGAAGCTGCGTGATGCGTCGTACAATATTTTAAATACATGTAGGGTGTACATGTAGGTTGTTAGATTCAACGAGCTTATCTGCACAAGAGAATGGAGAGAAAAGAACACAAGACGCCAGATTGTCTTGTCAAATTGCAGTTTTCGCTGTAGCCTTTCAAAAGACAGTAGTTTTCACGCACTGAGCGGTCATCGCAGTGCTGTCTGCAGGTGGCCCCTGCAATGCATCAGAAACTGGGAGTCTGGGAGACACTTTCACGACCATTTCACTATTCAGCCATCAACATTGCACTCGCACGCAACTTGCATATGCTTGTCTATTATGTTTGTTTGGAAACCTTTAGACCTACATGTACATTAAGTACCCGTACCTTGACTTGTGTGTTTAAAGTATGAATGCGTAGATTATTCTATTCATCACAAGTCATTATTATGTTTTCAATTCAATTATGTACATGTATGTACATGTACATGTATAGCGGGAACAAACCCGGGCTGGCCTGGCATTGCGAAAGAGCGCTGCATGTATTGTATACATGTAACTTTGTGGGCACGGTGGGGTACTGTGTTGCGTACGTTAGTTCCACAGTGTGAGGTTCGAATGCCAGTGTCAAACACTACATTGTAGCTGCTTTTGATTGACAGCACTGGCTGTTATTACATGCCAACTACATGTACAAGTACAATGAAACCTGTGACTAACGACCATAACTTAAATTAAATAAATTTCACGGTTCACGTGAGACTGGGCTGGAAACCGAGTTTTCCGCATCCGCCGTGGGAACGCCAACACCCTCTAGGAGCGCCTAAACGGTGGGAGGTGAGTAGATCAGACCCACCACCAAGTGGTCAAAGACCGAAATCCCAATTGCTGCATACATGATACCCTCGTGCCAGGCCACGAGTTCCCAATTACATGTTACTGTGGGTCGCAGCACGGCTGCAAAAATTCCGCCCGCTTCCAAGCAGGACGTAAACCTGGTACCCTCTGTTTCTCAATCATGGTCTTAGACCATCCCACTATGCCCGCCTGCCACAACTTGGGGCCAGAGAAAGCGGTCTTTAGTGCCAAGTGGTCCTTAGTTAGAGGTTTGCAACGCGAAATCATACATGTACATGTACATGTATGTGAATGTGAGACCATCCGCGCCTGGCGAAGCGGTCTTTAGTACCATGCTGGTCGCTTGTCATGGTAGTCTTTACTGTCTTTAGTGACAGGTTTTATTGTACACTGAGCAGGTCATCCCAGCGTGCCACATCTACAGACAGTCAGTTCTACACCAGGTTTTACTGTATTACAGTGCAGGGCAAATGCCAATATTTTAGTAGAGAACAATCCAAAATCCTCTGACGCCTGAAACGCATTCACATTTTTTGCCGGCGTTTGCACCATGATGGTTTGTGGATACATGCACATGTACACAAGAGAGAGATTGGAAGCTTTGTCACAACTCCGAGTTTCACGTATCTCTACGATCATCAGGCAACGTACATGTATTAATTTTGTTAAAGGGGAAGTCCGGGTAAAAATTTAAATTTCACAGTCCGTAGAGTTCGGGTCGCTGAGTCGAATTAAAGGGGAAGTCCGGTGAAAAATTTAAATTTCACAGTCCGTAGAGTTCGGGTCGCTGAGTCGAATGGTCTTTGTCCGAGGAGGCTGCGGCCTATGGTTCGTCAGATACGCCCAATCGAACATGCGCGGATATGAGCGCACATCACCCAGATCCAGGTGATGACGTCACATCGTGCAGCCAGGTAGCCACACCATCTAGTTGTGTACAAAATGGCCTTATTCGGAGCGCGTTCGATTGGAGAACCATTTGTCGCAGCTTCTTCGGGCCAAGACCATTCGATTCAGTGTTACAAACACAACGTACCCTGTGATTTTCAGCTCGGTAAACCTCGAGGTTATACCGTATTTTAGCCGTTTCCGAGTTGGACTTTTTCCGTCAGCCTCTACGGCTCTAGCAATGCGCTGCGTGCATGCTACCTGTAGTGCAGTCAACAAACTCATCACACACGGAACTACTCCCGCACTGCCGTGCTGGGGTAGCTACTACAACAAGACTCGAGTCACAAGACTCAGAAAACTAGTCAACACACAGACTTGTCATGTACTACACTCGTATCAGTTCATGTAGTCAGAGAACGTGCGTTTCTCCTTGCCGGTGCTGGTGGTTGTGCTTTGAGAAAGAAAATTTTAGTTTTCCGCTCCGGACTGCCTCATTATTTTATGCTACAGCGATGAGTGCACAACCGTGACAAGAGACAAAACAGCGAACAGCTCCCGGACCTAGAACTTTCAGATTCCATAGCGTTGCGAGCGAAGAGCCGTGCCCGTGGTTCAAAGAGCCTGCACTGTTCTCCAATTGAGTAGTCCGAAATATTAGTTCGCACCAAAACATCACCATGTGCCAGGCTACTGGAGTCTAAGCGAATCGGTATGTAACAACATTTAGAGTACTCGCATCACTCTTCTCCATTTTGGCAACCCTGCTCTCCAACGATAATTATATCAGCCTCGTCTGCAATAGCTGCTGCTTCTGCATCAGTCGGAAACTCAGTAGCGCTCACTCTTGACCGGCCCGGCCCGCGCGGCCATGTCTTCAGCTGAATACCGAGGTTCTCAGCCCCAGACCAAACTCATGAAGGTCAGCCATGGCTGCATCCTCACCGTCTCACAAGGAGTTAGGTCTTCGGGGTCGCTTGCACCACCTAATATCAGTCGCCAAATCATTTGAAATAGCACTGACACTATTGCTTTCACGCACTCCTTTTGACCTAGCTGCACGCTAGGACGTTGCGGAGGGTGTGGCGCGGCCGCATGACGTCATGGCGCAGCCCCCGAAACTCAGTTTTTCAAACGGAAATATCTCGAGCACGCTTTGTCAGAGACACGTGGGACCAACACCATTCGACTCAGCGCCCAAAACTCTACCGACCCTGAAATTTAAATTTTTCACCGGACTTCCCCTTTAACAAAAAGAAAGGTACACGCACAAGGACATGTACATGTACGTGTGCGTGTATGTACTCTTGGCAATACGAATCGGCGGTTGCGACTTCAGCGATGATAAGGAAAGGGCTAGTTGATCGTAACACTCAGCCTCACGCTTTTCTCGCGCACTCAGTCCCTCGAATGGCACGCGAAAAATGATAGCGTTGAGGACTCTCAGTCATTCGCAACATGATCACCTCGAACACCTCGTGAACACCAGCTCAACTGATGAGGAATGAATGAATGCCCAGTGCATTGGGCAGGGAGTGTTGCATTCTTTCAGGTTTTGTCGAGTGATGAACCTTTCGTGTGCTCTTCGGGGCTGATACTAAACATGTTCACAGTCAATTCTGCCGCCGTGAGTAACTTGCCTGATGATTGCATGAGCGTGAAACCTAAAGTAGCAGCAAACAAGCCTTGATTGTCCTTGTTGTTCTGTTGTGTAATAACGTCTTTATACTGACATCACTTTCATAAGTGTATACGGTGTTGAGCAGTGAGAAGCAGGTCAATGCCGCGCTATGCAGTCCTCAACCGGTTAACTAACCTGCGAAGTGCAAACACAGTGCAGGGATGTGCCCTGGGCCAGCGCGCACATCTCATTCACGCAATCGGATTTCACTGGGCAGAAGTCTGTAACCTGCGTAGGCTGTTAATAGTATAGGTGACACGCACGACTGTGGCAGGTGACATGCGGGACTGAACTGCCACTGCTGCAGAAGCGCAGTGCAGTGCTGGCACAGCTACAGTAAGTAATAGTTTGACACTAGCACCTCACCCAGTGTCACTTGCCCAGCATCAC